ACTTATTTATTGTTTTCGTTTTTCTATGATAATTTTTTTAATTTCACTAATTTAAATTATTTACTAATTTTCTTAATTTAAATTATTTCATCCATTATACCCACTTTTTTTCGACAGAAATGTATCGCCAAAAAGTTGAAATATCATCAACTTAGCGATACTTTGCTTGCATCAAAATTTCCTCCATTACAGCTCTGTTAAACTAGAATGCTACATAAAATTCTTTCACGGTAGCAAAATGAATGTAGAAACCTTTGACCGCCATGGGAATGTGTAATTTAGGAAAGATTGTGGTGGAGGTGGAAGAAAGGATTAGGATATTAGCTTCTATTTTTAAATTCTGTCTTTGGGCTGAATCCATTTACGGCTGAAGTTGGTTCCGATGCATTGGTGGTAATGTTTTTCTATTTTGACAAAATGTTTTTGTATTTTTAACTTCATAAAATTCTCCAAAAATTAGTTGGTTATAATTTAATAATAATAGATTTCTTTTTCTGAAAGCTTTTGTACTCCCATTCAAAGAAATCTGTGAATTATTTTTTCTCAGCAAACCAACCAATCACTCATTTTCTTACAATCGCTAACAGCAATGTTTGTTGACAAATTGTTACAATGAATGCATTAAGGCTAATTTTTTTTATTTCATTTTAACCTTTTATAACATATTTTAATTTTAAAAAAAGAGTTTTTTTTTAAGAACTAACTATATATTAATATTTAATTTTACTCTTTTGTTGGTCAATACATGATTTTTGATTCAAGATTTTGTACCAAAAAATTTTATTAAGAAAATCTTGCCAAATTGTCAAAATAAATTATTTTTTCCAAGATGATTTGTTAAAGAAAATAATATTTTGAATAAAATATTTTTTATTATAGACACTTTTCTTGTACACACTCTACACTTTATAAGAAAAAAGAAATAAAAACCTGGAATTTTTATGTGGAAAACCTGGAAAAATCAGGGAAATTTAAAATCTGATTTGAGTGGCCACCCTGTTTATACACTGCACATAAAATAAACAAATAACTGCTTAGAATGAAACTGCAAAACAAATAAGCACAGTGCATAAAGCCACAGAAACACATCTACAACTGACACATGCAATAACGCAACTGAAACTGGTTTGCACTTGTTTACGTATCTTTATCAATTGGTTAACATTGAAATGCAATTCATTAAAAATAAATACATATAGGAAGTATATAAAAAATCTCTTGAATAAAAACCCATTGCATGTATGTCTAATTATAAAATTATTTCATATAAACTCGTGCAAAACATGCAATTATTTAAAAACTACAGCGCATCTAATAATGAACTGTATAGTAGTGATAAAATCTAAAATATCTGAATAACTTTCAATTTAATGATCATATTTCCACATATTAACGTGCAATTTTAATATTTCAAGTAATTTTTTATGCTAAGTCTTTAGTACAAATGACAATTTATGTTATGAAATAAGTATTCTTTCTTTAAATAAGCATGTTATTCTTAAAAAATTCTGATTTTTCCCCCTACGAATTTTGGGGGCAGCCATAAGCTGGAGGATCTGGTTCCAATAGTTTAGCCATAAGAACAGTTAATCACTTTATTATTAACCTTATTTTTTGTGTAATTAACATACCTGGACTGCTACACTTCTGAGAAAGTTCTGAATTGACTAATTTATGACAATTATTTTAGCATTTTATGAAACAGTTCTCTTCTGAAATTAAAAAATTTAGTTCAACTTCTCCATTAGTAAAAATTCATTTTATTTTATTATAACAGTAATTTGTTTGAATTATTATTTTTTTTAACTTTATTATTTATTTACTTTATTTTTTTTACTTATATTTAAGAGCAATTTTGTTATTTGTAGCTTTAAAGGACTAGGTCCTGTGGTCCTAGTGTGCCCTGCAACAGTGATGCACCAGTGGGTGAAAGAGTGTCATAAATGGTGGCCTCCCTTTAGAGCAGTTGTTCTTCATGAGAGTGGATCTTTTTCTGGAAAAAAGGTAAATATTGTCAAAGGTATAATGATAACAGAAACCAGAAAATAAAATTCTGTTGTTTCAAAACACTCTTCTGTTTTCCTGTCAAAAATATATTCTCAATCTGTATATAATAAAGCAATCGAAGCAAAATTTCATGTTTAATTCTAAAATGATTAAGAAAAAATTCTGACTAACATATATTTTGAGAATACTCTATCATTTTTTCCTATTTTAAAAATGTTTATTAATGTATACTTTTATATTCTTTGCATGCAATTAAACCTCCAAAAGAGGGTTTTCTCGTAATTCTTGTTTTTAATATGAATAACTGGAATGCTTTGCAGAATCGCACACGAGCTACAGTTATATAAGTAATTTTTATGTGGAGGGTACAGAACACAGAGATGATTGTGTTCCAGAAAAATCTGGATTTTCCGCTAACCGCGATCCAGAAGTTTCAGGAAGTCCAATGTCCAGAAGTTTAAAGAAATCATCAATCACAGTTATGTCTAAAAATTCTTGTATATTTTATTTAAAAATATTAGAACTAGAATTTATACTTGTCATCGCTTTCGTTTGTAAATTTTTTTTTTCCTGGTAAAATAGTAAATGCGTTTAGAGATAAAAGTAAACCTCTTCAAAATTATTCATTTCAATTATGCTGCTTGTAAATTATTCAGAATTTCATGTTTTGAAAATATCAATGATTTAAATTTATAAAGACATGTGTCATTAATGATTTTACACAAGAAATTTTCAGGATTTTTGAGTTGGGCTCACAATCACCCCTGAGAAGACTTACGAAAATTTCTTATTTCGATGCAAAATATCATCTTCATTATACAAACTTATAAATGTTATATTCAAAACTGTAATTTAGTGATAACCTGTTAGTTTCAAAATCTAATATTTGAGCATAATAAGTACAGTATAAATTCTTTTTAAAATCATAATGAAAGGCAGAAAATATAATTTTTGATATTCTTGCATTATAATATTTACACAAAAATAAGCATATCCTGTCTAAAAAAATATTGTCACAAAATAATCGATGTTTTAAACACTTTATCAGGATGCTTTGATACGCCATATAAACAAAAGCCATGGAATATTGATCACTTCATATGCAGGTGTCGTCCAGCATAAGGACACCTTAATTGAATATGACTGGCACTATGTTATTCTGGATGAGGGACACAAAATTCGAAATCCAGATGCTCAAGCTACTCTTGCTGTAAAACAAGTATGTTCTTTTTTATTTACATACAGTATACTTTCTCGATATCTCAAAATTGAAAGGACGTGTAGTATTGAATCGATTAAGTAAGATGATTATAAATTATTTATTATATGTTGGATGGTAACAGTCTGGATGAAAAATAGAACAGCTAAGGTGAATAAATATTTGCTAACCTTCTGAATAAGTCTATCTTGTATTAAAGCGATAAAACAACACTTTGGACGCTAAAGCAATTTCGAGCTAACTAGTTTTTGAGATAACAAGTTCAGAACTAAATACGTTCTGAAAAGTAGAAAAATATATTCTAAAATATTACTCTAAAAAGCAAGGGTTTGTTGATTTAAATCAACTTGATTTAAATCAGATGATTTTTTTTTAAAATTTTGATTTAAATCAACTGATTTTTTTTATATATATTTATTTAAAAAGTTAAAAAACATTGTTTTAAATTATTGCTACTTTTATTATTTTCTTTTCTTAGTTTAAAATTTATTTTAAATAAATTGCTGCATTAATTAAGTTTAGTTAACGAAATTACTTTCTTTCTTGGTGTGTGTTAAATTCCAACACATTTGAAATTACATATTTAAAAATCTTTTGATTCTTGAGATTGAAAGTACAGATTAAAGTAAACTTTTAATGCTGTCTTAATATAGACTTGCATAGCTGTAGAAAGTAATTAATAAACATGAATTTTTTTCACGAAAAAAAAAATGTTTATTAAAATTCTACCTTTTGATTGAAAAAGCGGGGAATTAAAATCTACNTTTCTCGTAATTCTTGTTTTTAATATGAATAACTGGAATGCTTTGCAGAATCGCACACGAGCTACAGTTATATAAGTAATTTTTATGTGGAGGGTACAGAACACAGAGATGATTGTGTTCCAGAAAAATCTGGATTTTCCGCTAACCGCGATCCAGAAGTTTCAGGAAGTCCAATGTCCAGAAGTTTAAAGAAATCATCAATCACATTTATGTCTAAAAATTCTTGTATATTTTATTTAAACATATTAGAACTAGAATTTATACTTGTCATCGCTTTCGTTTGTAAATTTTTTTTAATAGTAAATGCGTTTAGAGGTAAAAGTAAACCTCTACAAAATTATTCATTTAAATTATGCTACGTGTAAAATATTCAGAATTTCATGTTTTGAAAATATCAATGATTTAAATTTATGAAGACATGTGTGAATTCTTATTTTGAAGCAAAATATCATCTTCATTATACAAACTTATAAATGTTATATTTAAAACTGTAATTTAGTGGATAACCTGTTAGTTTCAAAATCTAATATTTGAGCATAATAAGTGCAGTATAAATTCTTCTTAAAATCGTAATAAAAGGCAGAGAATATCATTTTTGATATTCTTGCATTATAATATTTACACAACAATAAGCATACCCTGTCTAAAAAAAAAAGTGTTGCATACTGTCACAAAATAATCGATGTTTTAAACACTTCATCAGGATGCTTTGATACGCCATGTAAACAAAAGCCATGGAATATTGATCACTTCATATGCAGGTGTCGTCCAGCATAAGGACACCTTAATTGAATATGACTGGCACTATGTCATTCTGGATGAGGGGCACAAAATTAGAAATCCAGATGCTCAAGCTACTCTTGCTGTAAAACAGGTATGTTATTTTTTATTTATATACAGTATACTCTCTCGATATCTCAAAATTGAAAGGACGCTAAAGCAATTTCAAGCTAACTAGTTTTTGAGATAACAAGTTCAGAACTGAATATGTTCTAAAAAGTAGAAAATATTACTATAAAAAGCAGGGTTTGTTGATTTAAATCAGCTTGATTTAAATCAAATGGTTTTTTTTTTAAATATTGATTTAAATCAACTGATTTTTTTAATATATATATTGATTTAAAAAGTTGAAAAACAGTGTTTTAAATTATTGCTACTTTTATTATTTTCTTTTCTTAGTTTAAAATTTATTTTCAACAAATTGCTGCATTAATTAAGTTTAGTTAATGAAATTACTTTCTTTCTTGGTGTGTGTTAAATTCCAACACATTTGAAATTACATATTTAAAAATCTTTTGATTCTTGAAATTGAAAGTAAAGATTAAAGTAAACATTTAATGTCTGAATATAGACTTGCATAACTGTGGAAAGTAATTAATAAACATGAATTTTTTTTTACAAAAAAAATGTTCATTAAAATTCTACCTTTTGATTGAAAAAGTGGGGAATAAAAATCTACATTATATTTTATTGGTGGAAAATGTATAATTTTTAAAGCTTGACGTTATCTTAAAAAGAAATCACCCTAATATTCCACAAAATAGGGTTTAAATTCTCTATTTCATCTAGTCTTTAAATTTCAATCATGCATTTGTTTAAAAATGGTTGCTATGCATTCAAAGCTATGTATTATAATGAAAAATTGCTTTAGGTAGTTAGAATTTCTGAAATATTGTTATAATATAGTTTTAATATTAATTTCATTTTGTTTAAACATTTATATAGTTTTTTTAATCATAAATCAAAGTTCTTAATGTGTATTAGAATAAATTTAAAAAAATCTGATTTAAATTTTGAAAAAAAATTTGATTTAAATAAAAAAAAATCTGATTTTTTTTTCTTCATTTTTTTAAAAAGTCACGATCCCTGTTGAAAAGTAGAGTAATGAAACATAAGAATAATTACTGTTAAATATGTGTGTATTGTAGTTGACTTTAGGTCTGACTTTAAGATAGTTGACTTTAAGTCTAAGTATAACAATTATAATTTTATTTTAAAAATTAAGACAAAAATAATGATGCATTTAATATAAAATAATTGGTTCACAATTAACTTTGTGATTTTTTCGAAAAAATTCAATATCTATTTAAAAAAAATTGACATAAGCTTTTGAGAAAAAACTCTTCAACATAGGATTTCAAATTAACATTAGGTGGATATATAATGCCTGCCAAGGGGATTTTTTTTTTTTTTGACATAACAAGGTTTTCAAGCTATCGAGAGTATATAATTTTATTAATTTTTTCTATAAAATTTGACTGTAATAAATTTTATATCCAGAATCTATTTAAAAAATATAGTGCTTAGCTGAAATGGTGAAAGTACCTATCTTAAAATATGAATTTTGAGTATTACTTAAAATTTTATTTGAACTATTTAACTGTCTTGACTGTCCTCATTTTTAAAGTTCTAATTCTTGAATAAGCTTCAATGAATAAATTGATCAGTAAATAAAGCTCATATGCTTTTGAAAAAGTTCTTTTTTTTTTTCTTTTACCCTTTTCTACATATTAATTTCTATAATTTTGAAAACCATTTAAATTTTATTTAAACTATTTAACTGTCTTGATTGTCCTCATTTTTAAAGCTCTAATTCTTCAATAAGCTTCAATGAATAAATTGATCAGTAAATAAAGCTCATATGCTTTTGAAAAAGTTATTTTTTCTTTTTTTTTACTCTTTTCTACATATTAGTTTCGATAATTTTGAAAATCATTTAAATTTTATTTAAACTATTTAACTGTCTTGATTGTCCTCATTTTTAAAGTTCTAATTCTTGAATAAGCTTCAATGAAAAAATTGATCATAAATAAAGCTCATATGCTTTTGAAAAAGTTTTTTTTTTTTTTTAACCCTTTTCTACATATTAATTTCTATAATTTTGAAAACCACTTATGATGTTGTAAAACTTTTTGATATTTTTTATTGTCATCTTTGAAAACAGTAATAAATTGTTTTGGAAAAAGTAACATAATTTTAGTTGCAATAACCTAGAAAATGTGTAAAAATACAAATGCATTTTTTTAGTAAATGCTAAACATTGTTCTTAGCATAAATTACTACAAATTAATGACTGGAATCATAAATTTGTTCACCCCAGAACCAATTTAAATGAGGATTTAAAAAAAAATCCATTAATAAGAGAGCACTTAAAAATATTTTGTTTTAACATTTTTATTTGTTTTTCAGTTTAGAACACCTCATCGAATCATATTGTCTGGATCTCCAATCCAAAATAATTTGAAAGAACTATGGTCTTTATTTGATTTCATATTTCCTGGCAAACTTGGCACCCTACCAGTTTTCATGCAGCAGTTTTCTGTGCCGATAGTTCTTGGTGGCTATTCAAATGCTTCTCAAGTTCAGGTGACTCTTATTTATTTTTTACAATTGTAAAATTTACTTGAACTATTCACTCTTTTGTTTATTTTTTGAATTAATCATTTATACAAAGCAGCATCTAAATCTGAATCAAAAAACTGATTAAATTGGTTTTTTGAAGTTGAATTCATTGACTTATATTGCTTTCTCTTAATTCACCTTACAATACAGCATTTCATTTTTGCCTGCATGAAATAATATACTTTCTTTTAACAGAAGTTGAATACAACAGTTGTTATTAATAGGTAGATGAAACAACGAAAGTTTGATAAGTTCTTTATAGTCAAAGAATGCAAAAATCAGGGTTGGGGTTTTGACAGAAATAACTGGTTTTTAACTTGACATTCCTTGACTTGTTTTTACTGGAACGGTTTAAAACCAAAAATCTTAAGTATATTATTTTAAACATAGAAAGCCATTGAAAATAATCATTAAATACTTTTAATGATTATAATGATTAGCTCTTAATTATTCATAGTAATTAAGTATTAATTGGATTTTATACATAAAATACAATTAACAGTATATTTCAATAGACAATTAAAAGTAATTACAATTATTTCAATTTCAGTAAAATAGTACCCTAGAAAATAGTAAAATTGTACTTTAGAAAGGAGTAAAATAGTACTCTAGAGAAATATTACTCAATAATATTTCTCTTTTTCATGGTAAAATAGTGTCCCATACTTCTGTTGTGCAATTGAAAAACAATGTAAGTGCTACATGATAGATTTCGAAAAAGTGGCGTAGCTATTATTTTCTTTTCATTGAAATGCTATGAACGCTAAAATAAAATTTCATACATCATATTTTTATTTATTTATTTAATTTATTTATTTATTCATTCATTTATTTATTTTTTGTAATGTGTAGCTATCATACAAAAATACCAAATACATAAAAAGGGCAACATGAACTACAAAAAAGATTTTGTGTTGCGATTTTTATGTATTTGGTATTTTTGTATGATAAGCTACACATTACAAAAAATGAGTGAATGAATAAAAATCTGATATGTGAAATTTTGTTTTAGCGTTCATAGCATTTCAATGTAAAGAAAACAATAGTTAATGCACTTTTTCAAAATCTATTATAAGTAGCACTTACATTGTTTTTCAATTGCACGACAGACTTATGGTTTTAGAATTTATTGTCAGTTTACAAATTTTTCTGCTTAGGTCCAAACTGCTTATAAGTGTGCCACCGTGTTACGAGATACAATCAGACCTTATTTACTGAGGCGAATGAAATCTGATGTGAAAATGGCTATTAATCTTCCTAATAAAAATGAGCAGGTAACTCTTTGCACATTTGAATGTTGTTTAAGTTTATCATATGCTGTTTAGTTTATCATATTTGAATGTTGTTTAAGTTTATCATATTTGGTATTAACATGAAATTTCATTGCAGGTTTTGTTTTGCAAGCTGTCAGTAGAACAGGAGGCATTATATAAAGGTTACATTAATTCTAAGGAAGTTGGAAGCATTTTAGATGCTAGGTTACAGGTTGTTATTCTTTTTTATGTATATATTATAGACTTTAGGATATAGTAATGATTGAACGAGGGTCTTTTCAAGCATGTGATTCTTCCATTAATTTGCAGATTTCCATGAATCTCACGACCGTTGATTCGCCGATTTCCCCGAATGAATAGTTAATATTCTGACAAAAAATTTCTCAGAGTTTCGCTATTCTAAAATTAAATTTCTTAAATTAGTCTCAATAACGAGACATTTATTCCATCTTTACTAGTACCCTCTTTTTTTTGCTTTTCTTCCTAGGTTATCATTCACGATCCATGAGCTTTTTTTTACGCATGTTTGTTAGTGAAAAACGCAATTTCAGATAAATTTCAAGAACGCGAAAATAAAAAAAAATTATAAAAATTCTATAGTAACTTTGGTTAGAATTAATGAACTACTGAAGCAAAAACAAAAGTATACAATTGATAATCGGAAAAGTAATTCCAAAATGGCAAACATTTAAAGGATTGTTCCCCGAAAAAGTACTAAAGAAACCAAACATTGGGAAATAAATCAGATAGTTTCTTCTTCTAGCAATCACATGCCTGTCTTTTGTTTAGTACATCTTTACACTTATAAAAAAATATATTACATTCGCATATCTTCTATGGACATGTGTTTTTTTTCTTCCTTTTTTTAAAAAATGCATTTAAAATGTGGTTTTACCAACTGTGATTTGTAAGCAATTTTTTGTATCACTTGATTATAATGCACATTGGAGAAAAAGAATTTCACACATTGGGAAAAAAATTCAGATAATTTTTTTTCTAGCAATCTACTGACTCAATACTCATTTTCGCTCATGCCTTTTTTTCTTTTTTTTAGTACATCTTTACATTCATAGAAAAATACATTCTATTTATGTACCTTCTATAGACAAATGTTTTTGTTTCTTCTTTTTTTTATTTTTAAGAAAAATATATATTTAAAATGTGCTTTTAACAACTGTGATTTGTAAACAATTTTTTGTATCACTTGTCTATAATGGCTTCTATGTAATAAAAATATTTTTTTAAAATGCTTTAGGTTTTTGTGGGCCTTATTAATCTCAGAAAAATTTGTAATCATCCTGACCTGTTTGATGGTGGACCTAAAATATTCAAAGATACTGACGAGTCACTTCTCGGGGTAGAGGACCACTACGGATATTACAAGCGATCTGGAAAGATGATTGTGGTCGAGGCACTGCTTAAATTGTGGCATCAGCAAGGACACAGGGTTTTGTTATTCACTCAAAGTAGACAGGTTTATTAAAAATTTATCTCCTTTTCATCGCTTAATTCCCTTACACTTAGAATTTTGGGAGGTATAACATTTTTTTAATGATTCAAACTCACCCCCTAGTGAAAGAAACTGTTTCTTGTGTATAGTGTGTAGCATGATAAGAAAGCCAAATTGTGAGAATTAGAAAGAGAGGAAATGGATAGTTAAAGAGTCTAAATTGTATTCCCTTTCTATTACAATAAGATGCATAATTTTTCCTTCCCTATGTATTATTTTTGTTGTGTGTCATTTCAATACTCATTTTCACACATTATACTTTGAATCATATATTCATTTTGTATAAAATATATTTTTTTACTACGCAGGATGATGTTTTTGCTATTTTGAAATGTGCAGCAAATCAAAATACATTTGTTTAGCCTGAAAAGGAAGTAATTTTTTTTTTAAAACTGGGTGAAAATGTGTATTATAACTCAAGAGTGATTGTATACCGGAATTCTGGGTCNTGTTTACCCTTTTTTACAGTATTTCTTCTTCCCCTGACACTCTAATAAAAAGGTTCCAGGAAATGCCTCTTTTACTAGCCAGCTGCATAAGAAAAGAGACGGGAGGGGACGCAGTTGCAGTCTTTTGAAAACAAATCTCCCTCTTTTCCTGCGATACAGAGTAGGAGCGTCGCTAACGGTCACTCAATGATCTTGGTAGATCTTCTCTTCTTCCCCTTTGTGATTTATGGGTTCAATGCATAAATCAGGGGTTCAGTGCAAGCTAGAAGAGAAAACTTGTCAAAAGACCCTTTTTTTTTTTAAAGAAAGGGGGAGATGAAGAGATGTTTGTTTATTTTGATTGTTAAAAAGTGTCCGGGAAATCGATCCTTCCGGAAAAGGGACGTCCGGATATGAGATGTTATACTGTATTTCTTAAAATACAGCATTTCTCAAGAACATTGGTTCGCAGACGTCTGAGAATTACAAACTTACAATCCGACAAAATTTTGAAACCTTTGCTAAGTCCCATTAACGAGACATTTACATACACTTAATTCTTCTGAGATTTTAAATATTTTTGCGTGGCAGACTTCCGTCATTTGAATATTCGGAATTGTGCAGAAATCTGCTAATATTGCAATTCTTATTCACACGATTTTAATATCAAGCAGCGATTTTCATATATACCTTATTTGAAAATTACACGTTATGATTAATTTTCACTCGATCCAAAAATGGTACATCACGATTCTTACTCAAATGATTGAAAAATCCAATATCTCGATTTGTATTTACACGAATTAAAATTGAATATCGCAATTTGCATTTTCTCATTTTTAAAATCCAATATTTCTGATTTATTTTCATTTGTAAGTCATTTCATTTTAAATGCTAGTTAAAAAACTAATGTTAAATATGAAACATGTTTGGTATATAAATTGTTATCTTGATATCTATTTTGCACATAAAATTTTCAGGGTTTTTCACTTTGTGTCACAATAGCCCCTGGTAAATAGCAAAGTTATATGATTAGAAACCTTTTAAAATTAGACTGGGTTTTAAAGACATTTTTTGTTTGTTTGTTTAAATTGATATAGTTTGACAAGTTAAAGTATTTACTTATATTTTTTCCTAAAAGAACTTGCATGTTTTTTTTTCCATTCAAATTTTGGTTAATTCTTGAAATCTGTTGTATTATGTTTTATATCTGAACTTCCTTTGTAAGTACGTGAATCTCATCAATGTTCCCCTGATTCTCTTTTCCCCCTTATGCAATCGTAACGGGGCTCCCACTGGTTCAGAGAAACTTGGAATTGCTAGGAAATAATGCAATGTTAAGCCAAATCCTGGAAAATCTTTCGACAAGCATATAAAATAACTAAACTCTTGATATCGATGAACGGCCAATAAAGTTTTAAATAAATAAGTTTTAACATTTATTTTTATTATTTCTTGTAAAAGGCTGTAACATTGTTTAATTTTTTAGATTAATTAAAATCAGAATATTTAATAAGTAGAAGCTACTCTGTTTAAAAAATATTTTCTTCAAATTTTTAATTAAATATAACTATATTTATAGTTTTTAAAATTAATCCTTCTTTTTAAGTTAATTTTGATTCATAATTGCAAGTAAGATTTATGATTACTTTATTTCTGAGACTCCAATATTAAACTGTGGTAATTTTTTATGTACATATAAAAAAAGTATTTAAAAATTTCATTTTGTATTCTGAAAAATTATGATTTATTAAAATATACGATGATTATATTTTTAAAAAAACTTATTCAAAACTGCTATTAATTTGCAAAATTTTTTGAATCTATAATAATCAATAAAAAAAACTTAAAATAGGCTAAATATAAATTTAATTTTTGTATCGATGATTTTTTAAAAATAATTTATTCAAATCATGATTTCAATTGAACAATCCTGAGAAGATATTCAAGAGATCATCCAGTATTAAAAAGTACTGAAAAGGAAATGTTTGTTTAGCTGCGATTGAAGAAAATTAGAATTATACTTTACTTATTTTTTACTTCAAATCAATCCTACAAGATATTCATTTGGGATTTTATTTAATTTATTTTCCCATGTCTTTATTTTGTCCTCTGATATCCCCCCTAAAGAAAATCCTATATATTTTCCTTATTTTTTTAAATTAGTCTCCTGACCTCTCTGAGTGAAGTTTTTTTTAAATGTTTCTTTTCAGATGATGGAAATTCTGGAATTGTTTATTAAAGATAGAAAATACACATACATGAAAATGGATGGGAGTACTTCTATTGGTTCAAGGCAACCATTAATAGCAAAATTTAATTCCGTTAGTATATTTCATCCAACATATGTCAAGACTTTTTTTTTTTTAAAAATTAATAATTTTTTTATGTAATAATGTCATTTTTGTAAACATATTTGTGAACTTTATTCTCAAACATATATTTTGAAACAATTCATTCCTCTTTAAAAATCAAACACCTGTCATCAAAATCTTTGAAGTGAATCTGTAGCACTGTCATCACAATTCTAAATTTGTCTGAAAAATCTCTATGCAATCAGACAGAAATTGTTATTGTAAGAATTCTGCTTAATTTAACATACATGTGGCAAAATTTGCAAACATAAGATCCTTAAAAGTTATGCATAAAAACTTCATGTTCTTTATATTTAAATTGTATTTTGAATTTTACATATTGATACTAAGAAGGAAGGAAAGAGGAATAAATTCCGATACAGTTCAGCTAGTACTCAAGTAGCAAAATTTAAAGAAAAAAAATATTCTTTGTAGTATTTTCTTAATTCAACTTTTTAATTTTTATACAAAACAATTTAGGAGATGTTTTGAAAAGAGTTTCAGCAACTTGTTTGTTTTTTAAAAACAATGGTCTACTACATACAGTTTGACATTACCTTTAATTTATATGTAGCATTTTTAAAAAGTGCTTATTTTCGTTTTTTGAAAGCCTTTAAAGGTGCTTTTTTCATTGGGTGTTTTTAAAAAGTGCTTAATTTTCCCTTTTGAAAACATTTTTTCTTTACCATGTCGATTTTCGCCACATAGTATGTAAAAGCATGCTTTTCACATTGTTCTATTCAGCGTTTTTACAATTTATTCAACAACCATCTATTTCGGTGCACCGTTAGTCCATAGTGTATGAAAAAGCTAATAATTTTACAAGTTTGATGAAATTCTTGGGAGTCCGCATGTGTGTCTACTGAATTGAGTTCGGTGAGATTATTGCACTGTTATGTGCAACTCTGCTGCATTTTGCGAGATATTCTCAATTTCCGGCTTCACTTTACACCCTCTGATATCGAAAAGGAAAATCTCTCGAACATTTAGTAATGGCTAATGTAATCAAGAAAAAGACTTCTTTGTCAGAAGCTAGTTATTTCATCATGAAGATGTAAAGTCTTTTTTAAAATTATTTTGCATTTTGTTAATGTATATAGAGCTTAACAATATTTTTTGAGTACTTTAAAAGTACTTAAAAGGTGCTTATTTTTTGTTGAAGGAGTTGGAATTAGGATATTAAGTTTAAGTTCAATCTCAAATAGAATTCAAAATCTTTGATCTTAGACCTTTGAAAAATTTTTCTGATTTTCATATGAATAGTAAATCAACTTTGCATTTCCACCACATAAAAAATTTTAATCATTCCTTTTGCTTTTAAAAATAGGATCCTAGTATTTTTGTGTTCATACTGACTACTAGAGTGGGTGGACTAGGAGTTAATTTGACAGGTGCCAACCGTGTCATTCTCTATGACCCAGACTGGAATCCAAGCACTGATGCACAGGCCAGGGAGAGAGCCTGGAGGATAGGACAGGAAAGAGAGGTCACCATATACCGTCTATTGACATCTGGTACCATTGAAGAAAAAATATATCATCGGTAAATTATTTATCTTAATTTTTTTTCTCATTAGCCTACAACCATTATTTTGAAGACTTTATATTATGCAAAATTAAATTATAAAATTTAATTGTTTTATAATAGCAGGAAATGAAAAGACCTTTAAAGCATTTTGTGCAGCTATCTCTTTTATTGTAGATGAGCAATGCTACTGTTTAAAACTTTGTAATTTTCAACACATTATTTTCTTTTGAATATGTATCTACTTGAAACAAATGTTTCGTTAAGGTATCCATTCTTTAGATTTTTTTTTCATAATTTTGTAAAATAACTTTAGGTTGAACTGATTACCTCAATTATCTAAACTGATTACCTAAACTAGTTCTGGTTTCTAGCAGACAGACTATGAAATTACATTCTACTAAGTTAGATGATAAATTTGCTATATTGATGTATTTTTGAATTCATGGCATCAGTGTTGGTAAATTTGTTCTACTGTATCATCTCTCTAATGTTCTTTTACTTAAAAAACGGAGAAAAAACAACTAAATAACTAATTTAAAAAATAATAAAATAAAATGAAATTAAAAATTAAATTATATATTTAATTATTTTTTTTATAATAGCAAGAAATAAAAAGAACTTTAAAGCATTTTGTGCTGCTCTCTCTTTTACTGTGGATGAGTTAAGCTACTGTATATAAGTCAGTCTACAATCTGTAGACAAAAACAGTTTATTCTGGATATTTAGCTACCTCGAATTTAGTTTATTGTATTATTCAGATTAAGCTTTATTTTGAACAACTATTCTAAATCAAAATAGTTGTTCAAAATAAAAGAAAATATTTTGATTTCATCTTTTAATCTTTTTATTGCTATTCTAACAGTATGTGTATTTGCTTATGATCGCAAGCTCGCTATGACAACAATTTCATCTCTTATTCCAAATTGTCATTATAAAAGGCTTTAGGTATACTCATTTTTTTCTCATTTATTTAGGCAAATTTTCAAGCAATTTGTCACCAATAGAGTTTTGAAGGACCCCAGACAGAGGAGGTTCTTTAAGAGTAATGACTTGATGGAACTCTTCACTTATCACGAAATTGGACCTCAAGGAACGGAGACCAGTGCCATATTTGCTGGAACCGGATCTGAAGTGAAGGTGAACAAGAAAAAGCCTCGACCGCCACCAGAAGACTCCCACGCTTATTCCAAAGAAACAGCCGTCATTCCATCCAAAAAGATGGAACTTTCTGTCACATTTAGTGATAAAAAAAGGGAAGAAATGAAGAATCTTGCCAAAAAATTGAGTTTGGGACTTTTAAATAAGCCAAATAGTGCTGATTCCGAGAAAAAATCGAAAAATGCTGAAACTAAGGAAACTATTTGGAATGATGTAAAGGTACAAGACAAACACATTAAAAAAAGTGTTAAAAGAGAAAATCATGTGAAGAGAAATGATTTCCACTCACATAATCCATCAAATAGTAAAACAAAAGAGAAGAAAACTAAAAGAATCATAGCAAGTAAATTTTTTTTTATATTCCTAGCAAGTTCTTTTTATCTACAATAATTACAGAACTAACATTAAATATACCACGCTAGTAGGCTTTGATTTTTTATTTAATTACTTATTTTTTGAAAAATATACACTTAAATGATTGAAAGTTAGCAAAAGAAATAAATGCTTACTTTTGTCTTCTTGCCTATTAAAAATATGTCATCATTAAAATTCAGCGATACTGTTTGAGCTGTTGACTTATTCAACATTTAATTAAAATGTGAAATTATTGTCAAATATTTAAGTCAAAAAGTAAAACTAAAGAGAAGAAAACTAAAATACTTGACTATTAATTAAGGATTCTTTGATCAAAACAGAAATCTCAAAGTGTTTGATTGCGTTTACTCTGACTTCATTTTGATAAAATTTCAATTTAATTATTTTACTCCTTAACCATTACAGCTTCATCCACAAACTTGTTTCTTAAATTTTTATTTCACTGATAAAAAAATCTTGTTAAATATCTTAATAATCTTGTTAAATAAATCTTGTTATGTATATAATAGTGTAAATAGCCTTAAGTCTTAATTAGTACTTAAAAATTTTAAGTGATTGTTTTTAGTATTCATTTTTTTAACTACTTATGTTGACTGAACATACTTTTACGTAAAATTTATTTTAAAATTAAATTGGACTAATTTTTAATTTAATGAATAATAGTAAAACTGTAACTGAATATCTTCATTATAAAATATTGTGTAAGGAGACAAAACCTTTTGATTACTTAAAAATGAAAGAAAGAAACAACACTTTTAATTTCATGCCTTTAACTCTGAATTAGGTTAAAATGTAATAAATAAAATGAATAATATTAAAAGGAAGAGATAAATAAATATATTACTGGTAAATGCCATTAGAACTTGTTTTTACAAATAAAAGTATTTTATTCCCTGTAAAGTATAGAGTCTTCATTTTGCTTAAATTGATTTTGCCTAAAAAAGGAAAACTTCTTAATTTTAGAAGTCGATGGGGAAAAAATTGATTTTGTTGTCAAAAAATCATTTTATAAGCCTCCAAAAGATGATGATGAGAAAGATATGAAGCAAGATGATTATGTACTTAGTAAACTGTTTAGGAAATCTGGTAAGTTCGAAGAGTTACTTATTTATCATATTTGGTAAATTGGCTTACATTGTATAAATATATTTATAAATTTTTATCTGATATTTGAAAAATAATAATAATATTGCTATTGAAAATGAAAGACAGTAGCATATGTACCTGCATTGTATTCCTAAAACAGCATCATTTTCTTTCCGTTACAACTTTGCAAGAGAATATAATGTTTCAAAGTATTAAAATGAAATTAATGGAATTTGAAATTCTCTCTCTCTCTCTTCCATATATATANTTCTAGTTTTTATATTATAATTTAAAATCCGAATTTGATGCAAAACTTCAGAAATGGAAGTTAATGTGAGGCTAATAATTTAACTCATTATAAACATAAAATCTTTACATGGTTCCCACAGTCCTTAGAAACTACTTAATTTTTATTTTGAAAAATAAGGACTCTTAAATATACTTAATTTTGGTATAAGGTTTTTGAAAGTCCTAAGTTTTCCAGTAACCCTATACTTGATAGGAAAGATTTTTTCAGTCTTATGAAAATATTTTTAAAAAAAGTCATTCTTTTATCTCATCTTTAAGAATGAGGCCATGCATTGAGGGTACAACATTTTAGAGAGACAAAATTTTTGGCATAACTGAATGTTTAGCATGATTGGCCCACAACTGACTATGTGATGCATGTCTAGCAGCAAAACATAAAAACTTGTTTTAATAATTTTTTCAATGTTTTTCCCAAATTTCTTTATTTATTGCTTTTTTTTTTAATGTATGAAAAAATTTGCAAATCTTAGTTTCTGCACTTAATTTTGCTCTTCAATTTCAATGAAATCATTAAAAATGGAATACAGATTGGTCTCATAGATGTTAACATTTAACAATCTGAAAATATTTTTAAAAAAACACAACTTGGGTTTGCAAACATTGCCTGGTCCTAATTTGGCGAACCCTGTTAATTAATACAATCATATCAGTACTTATATTATAATGAAAAAAAATTATTTTTATTTATTGTTTGTTTGTTTTTTAGAAAAAAAAGGTAAATAATTGTCACTGTCCACTGATCGTATATTCGATGATAAACAATTATACTATTTTTACAGTCTTTAATTTTTCGAAAGAGTGCTTAATTTTATTCATGAAAAAAATCCTTAATTTTGCTTTCTTTAAAGAGTGGGAACCCAGTTTTAGCATTTTACCTCTGTCTTGAAAAATATTTCCAATGTGGGGCTTCTACTGTATTTATTCCTATCTCTTAAAGGTGTTCACACAGCTTTAAAGCACGATAAGATTGTTGAGTCATCAGATCCCGATTACATGATTGTGGAAGGTGAGGCCAGCAAAGTGGCCAAAGAGGCCATCAAAGCACTGAGAGAATCAAGACGTCTGTGCGCAAGAGCAGAAGAGGGTGTGCCCACCTGGACAGGACAGCATGGAGAGATGAGGTACTTTAAAAGGACCGTTGGGGACATTCAAATATTACATAAACATGTTTTTCACAATTTTATACTCTGAGCCATAGTGGCTCAGGGTATGGAGCATTCGCCTTCCAATGAGGTGAACCAGGTTCAAATCCCAGCGATGACTGGTCGATACAAATTCTGCTTCCTGCTCTCTCTGATCACAGTGCTGATGTGAAATATCCTCAGTGGTAGACGAATCATGGGATAGAATCCCCTTGCCATAAGGTTAACCATGGGATGTTTTCGTGATTTCCCGCTCCATGTAATGCAAATGCAGCTTAGTTCTATCGAAAAGTCCTCCACGAAGGCAATTTTTCCCAATACTTGATCTGGGAGTTCCCTTGTCTTCTGGATTGGGTTCAAAATTACAAGGCTGTGGAGTGGAATATTAGTTAAAATATGCAAAATACTCCTCCCTGTCCTTGACAAAAATCATAACTGCCTTAAATTAACTGCCATAAAATAATTATTGCATAAAACCTGTTTTCGTAAAATTAATGACAATTGGACTTTGTTTGCAATAGGGGGCAGAAAAACCTGGAATTCTGTAACTTTTCTAACAACCAACAATAAACAATTTTAGCAATTAAGAGAACTTGCAGTTTAAATAAATTGTGGCATCCTAAAAATTAGCTTTTATTTTGTCCATTTTTTTTCTTAAAACTTCGCGTCTTCCTAAAATAGGATTTTTTGACAAATTTTTCTAAATTCCATATAACATGTTCCAAATTATCTTCATTTGTTTAATGTTTCTGATCAGATTGGTTAAGAATTGAGTATTTTTGAAACAAACTGAAAAGTGGTAATTTATGAAAACAAAAAGGAGTAGAAATTTAATACTTTATTATGTAATTTCTCAATTTAGTCATTCACTCGTTTCTACTTCCACGCATTACATTTTTATACTTAGAACTCAAATCTTTCTTGCATTGACTTTCATTGATAAACTGAAAGAAATATGTAAGAAAGTGTTGTCGATAGTGTTTCTTTTAATCCCCGTGGCAGAATCACACCGACATTGTCGCAGAACGTTACAGAGTTATTGCAGAAAGATTTTTCTTTTGAAAAGTTAAAAATTTACTTTTCTTTTCTACAGAAATTTGTACTTAATATTTGAATCATACATTTAGATAATCACTTTTTGATGTGCTCGATTTACTCCGATAGTATCATAAATTGATGTAATGTTTTGATTGTATTTTTGGCAGTTATTGATGTTGATTTTCACTTGGATTTTAAATGTCCGATGTATTTCAAACAATATGGAAAATTCGAATCCTGCACTTTTTAAGGCAATAATTCTATGGAATTTTTGGCAGTTATTGCTATTGATTTTACCATAGTATTTAAATCCGATATTTTTTATACGATATACGAACCAAAACACGCATTTTAGGCAGTTATTGCTATTGATTTTACCATAGTATTTAAATCCGATATTTTTTACACGATATACGAACCAAAGCACGCATTTTAGGCAGTTATTGCTATTGATTTTACCATAGTATTTAAATCCGATATTTTTTATACGATATACGAACCAAAACACGCATTTTAGGAGTCCGATTCGTGTGATTTCGTATTCGATCTTTTTTTCGGCAATTGCAACCACGAATTTCATGATTTTTCATTATAATTCTTTTTATTGAGATGATTATTTACAAAATGCGACGAAGGAAATAATTTGTGCAAAATGCGAGAATTTCATCCATAATATACGAATAAAAAACTATTACAACTTCGATTAAAAAAATATATATATGTAGTTTTTTTTGTAAACAAAGCTCTTTTGTTACTTTAAATTAGTAACATATATGTTTGTTATTATTAAAAGTATCTTGCAGAAAAATATTGGTGCTAGAGAGTTTTGTCACTGCCAGTTCAAAAAAATTCTGCCACGAGACTTTTAATAATTTTTCGCTTTTTCTATTAGTCACCGTTTTTTACCTTTTTAGTGTATGTAGTATCCAGTAATTGAATATCTTAGATCAAAAGCTTTTATTCATTAAATGTGATCCAATAATGTTTTTTATTCTTTGATGTGTACAGCTAGGATAAGGGTTTATTCAAGGACTAAAACAGGGCTGACACTCCGCAGGGAGAACAGGGAAAACCTTGAAATTATAGGGAATTTAAAAATCATTTATAATAACAAGGAAAATGCAAGGAATTTTGATTTTTTTTCTTTACAAACTGGGAAAATGCAAGGAATTTAATTTCTTATTTTTGTCTTTTAAAAAATGGTGACCCCTCAAAGCGTAATCTATGGGATATTTAACTATGATATTTTAGCCATACTAAACTATTTCAATTATTATAGCATTATTTAAGTATGTTAAGCTGCTTTTCCAGCAATTCAAACTACAGTACAGAACCCGTTATCCGGAAAACCAAAAAACCGGAACGAAATTCGATAAATTTTCCCGCCATTTTTTTAAAAAAAATTTTTGTTTTCCTCATAAGATTTTAGGATTTTTCTTTCTTTTTTGAAAGATGTTTACCTTACCATCATTTTGGAAATAATCATTAGTGTACTACTCCATCGTTTTTTCTTCTTTTTAAGATTATTTCCAAAAAAAATAATTTTTTTTAGTTGGGTTTAACAATAAAAAATACACCTTTTTGTAGCGATTCAGAAAACCGGAAAAATCAGTTATCCGGAATAGTGATGGTCCCGATCGTTCCGGATAATGGGTTCCCTACTGTAATAAATATAGTTAGCCCAATATAGCTCACATAAGAGCACAATAATTGTTGTTTCCTCTTAATATATTGTATATAATATGTACAGGGAAGACAGGGAATTTTTTTTCCAGAAAACATTTAAAAAGTAATACACATTTCAATCAGATACTTCATTTTTATCATTTTAGACCGAGATTCGGACAAAAGAAAAAACTGCCAATTGCTTCTTCTCAGGGAGAAACAAGTACCAAGTCTTTCAGTGAAAAGAAGCATTTATTTGATGGAAAAAATAAAAAAGCTGATACGACTCCATCTTCATCGGATTTATTGTCTGCCATAAAAAAGCGTAAAGTAGTCTTTGGCACTGATGCTCCAAGTGATGATGAAAATGAATCAATGTCATCGCTTAGAAGACTACCAGCGGGAACGGAACACGACGATCTGTTGGTGGACATCCGAAACTTTGTAGCTTTTGGTGCATCTGTGGACGGACAGGCTAGCACTCAAGAAATCGTCGATACATTCAAAACGAGGCTGCCTATTCACCAGACGGCGGTTTTCAAGGCCTTATTGAGCAAAATTTGTGATTTTATTAGATCATCTGGCGGAGAAGGAATCTGGCACTTAAAGAGTGAATTCCGATGATTGCTGACAAAAACTAGGGATGCTCCAAATAGGAATAATAAATACAGTCGAACCCCGCTATAGTGAACCTGGGATATACAGGGCATCTGCGCACCTAGTAAGTCATAGATTTCGGTATTGAACAAAATTTGTCATAATTTTAACTATTTTTAAAAAATCATGGAAAGTTAAGGATTTAGGTCACCGAAAAATCTATTTTTTAAAATGGGATTTACCTCCCCCCCAATTTTTGATATTCTGAATATCTGAATTTGTAATAAAAACCCCACTCACAGTCATATTTTATTAAATTTCTAGAGCAAATTATCCTTTAAACTTCTGTGATTTCAGAATTCTTTTTATTTAATTCATTGTTTTTTTATTTTATTTTATCAACTTAAAATTCTAGCTGAAGCAAGCCAGTCATTTAGGTAATTTTTTCATTCCTAAATGAGAACAAAAAAATCAGGAGTGCTTCTTTCCTTTTAGAAGACCAAGAAAAGTATCTTTCGAATGTAATTCTGCAAAAAAAAGAAAATGAAAAAAAAAATTGCTTTTGTATTTTTTTCCAGCTATTTTATTGTTTCAACTCTTTCTTTACTCTGTTTTTTATGAATTTATTTACTCTGTTAAAATCTATGAAGATGCAGAGTATAACAGTTTTGGTTATACCTATCTTTTCAATTATTGTTATTATAATGCTCTTTTCAATTTATTGCTATGTTTTTATCAGAGAAAATAGTAACTTCGTTAAGTCATGAAGGCCTACTGTGACCATTTCAGTTTTCTTGACCTTTGGGCTCTGGGGTGCGAGAGCAGACGTTCCGGACCTTAACTCGCCAAGCTGGCAGTGTGAGCTGCGAGCACGACACATTTTTTAAAAATATTTGACACATGTAATTTTAGATTTTTAGTCAAAGGTATATTTTAGATATATGAATGTTTTTTTCCGTTTTTTAAACTTTTTATCATTTGAGAAAAATAATTATTAAGCTAGCCAAACTCCTAAAGATTTGGAGCATCCCTATCAAAAACTGATGTCTTTCAAGTCTGTGATATTCATTTGTATTTGTAAATTTAAAAAAAACTGTATTTGTAAATAAATAAACAGCACCTCATATTTTTAATACCAATTTGTACCTGAAAATGTTCATATTTTAATAAATCATGAAGTTTCCTAATAATTGCTGTTTTGTTAATTTTTATTTTTTAAAATTAGATTTTAAGAATTTGTTTAACAAAAAGGTGAATATAATCTATTTACTCGCATTTGTGTTGTCCTCATTCTTTATCTTCAAATAATGTCAAATGCAATACATTATACTATATGAATATACATACTATATGAACTTGTATGGTGGTTATATTAGCTCTCTAAGGTTTAAAAAGATATTTTTTGAAATTTATTTATTTGTTTCAGAAATTATTTATTTTAAGAAGCCAACCACATTGCTCTGTTTCTAAAAAAAGAAAAAACCCTTAGTTTAGTGTATTTTATTAAACTGAACTCACTAAAGAAATATTTGACAGTTTTTTTCTCATCCCCCGATTGGGCCTACTTACGAGGACGCTATACTGCTGGAGAAACCCTTCATGCAAAATTCTTTTTGACCTAAATTTTAGTATTAGTAATTTGAAATATAGAAAAATTAAGTTCAAGTGAACCTAGATTAAACCATAGAGTTTCAAATATTAAAAAAAAAAATTTCAAAATATCAAAGTGCAGCCAAATTATGGCAGGATTATGCAATGGAAGTTATCCTGCAATAATTAGGTTACACTTTGATATTCTGAAGATAAATAATCTTTGCAGCATTTGAAACATCATGTTTTGCTATAGATTAACGTGGGTGACCACTTGGATCAGTCTACGTAGGGACCGAGGGTGTGCAGTATTGGTCCTCGTTAAACTATTCTACCATAAAGTGCTCGCCTTCTCGTGCAGGTCGTCGGACTACTGAAGCGGAAGTGCCATTCCCTCTGCAGAGGATCAAAATTGTGATGGCATGTCTTTGGTTCGTCCTCAGGGATGTTTCCCAGACCGTCGCCAATAGCCCATTGTGCATAGTGTGACGTAAGTGAACTACAACAGCTATAGGTTGACTTGAGCACACTTTTCTTTAAACTTTTAAATACCAATGTAGGGTTGGAACAGCTGTGCAAATTTTATAACCATCGTTGAACAGCCGACCCAATTTTGGATTTACGACTTCTAATGTTCTTAGTCTAGTCATTTTGAACCCATACTAGAACACAAGGGAACTCTTGGATCAAGTATTTTTATTTTATTTTTTATAACTGTAGTTAAACAGCCGACCCAATTTTTAGGTTAACGGTTTCAAACGTTCAACTCCGTAGCCTTGTAATTTTGAACTCAATCCAGAAGACAAGGCAACTCCTAGATCAAGTATTGCGAAAAATTTACCTTCGTGGAGGACTTTTTGATGGAACTAACCCGCATTTGCGCTACATGGAGAGTAAGACCACGAGAACCTCCCGCGGTTAGCCGGACGGGAAGGAGACTAAGCCATGATCCATCTAACCAAGATATTTCACGTCAGCACTATGGTCCGTGTAGACCAGCCATAGCTGGGATTCGAACCCGGTTCACCTGATTGGAAGGCGAACGTTCTATCCCATGAGCTATCGCGGATCAAGTATTGGGATAAATTTGCCTTTGTGGAGGACTTTTTGAGGGAACGGTCCAAGTTCTTGAATCCGAGAAATTAGAGGAATTTCTCTGTCCAGGAAATTGGATGATTCGTCGACACCATCCAAGTTCTTGAATGTCACTGATTGGTCGGAATAAAAACTTGCACATGCGCATTGCTCATATTCAACATTATAAAATCTTACTTACATGAGTATAAAATTACTAAATAAATTCAAATGAAATCATATTAACCCAAATAGACCAAAACAGATGAATTTATTTGGACTAAAATATATGAAAACAGACAACAAAATGAAATAATCTGATGCCTGCTTGTTGACGTCACAAAACCTAAAACGCTGATTGGTTGAGGGAAGAAACACTTGGATGGAAAGTAGAACATGTTCTACTATTGTCTAAGGACTTGGACCAAGTACTTGGATGATCGTTTACACAATTCAAGCTCAAAGCAAAACAAGTTTCCATCAATATCAATCAATCTTCGTCCAAGAACTTGGATCGTCTAAACAGGCCTTAACTCGCATTTGCGTTACATGGAGAGGAAAACCTCCTAGGTTTAGCCTAACGGCAAGGATACTCCAACCCATGATCCGTCTACCAATGAGGATATTTTACGTCAGAACTTGTGGTCAGTGCGAGCTGGGTACGGAATTCGTATCAACCAGCCATCGCCGAGATTGATTCGATTGCTATTCACCTCATTGGAAGGCTGACTCTCTATCCCCTGAGCCACCGTGGCTCAGCTGCGCAAATTGTGACGAACTGCTCCAGAACGAAATTTCTGCTCCAAAATGCCGTGCCCCCCGTACAATTGAGGCAAGCTGCTCCAAAATTCTAATAAGTTGTTCATAATAAGTTATTGAGCGTAAAGTGTATCATTGGCAGTATTTTTGCGCAAAAATCAGTTATAACATTGTATTAAAAATATCAGAATTGGCAAAATTGTGTGGAAGTTGTCTAAAAGCGATCAATAATCTACGGGGATTAAATATGAAATTTTCATAAATAGAGCGCATCAAAAATAATACCTTATATTCAAATTGCCCCTATCAAAATAATACTGCTTTTAAAGTATCTGTATTAGAATCGACAAGTTGAAGTAGCTGAAAATCAATCGTAAAACTGCGTGGAACAAAGCTCGTCAATTTTTGTAAATAAAAAATAAAAAAAGAAAGAAATTTTTGCGTAACTGATCATTAGATCAAAAGTTATACAGAGTGAGTGATACAGAGAAATTCTATCCAAGTAATATCAGGGCTCGAAGAAAGTCAGAAATTTTACCCGTCGCCGAGGACGGCTTGTCCAACAATGTACCCGTCCTCCTTTGAAACTAACCCGTAGCTTCTAAATAAATAATTTTCTCTTATTTATTACAAACATTTATATAAATTGCACAATGAATTAGTAGTTACTAGGATTACAAATACTAGGATTACATTATACAGTAATAAAAGAAATACTAGGTTACTAATAGTAACCTAGTATTTCTTTTATGAAATAATTTAAATGACAAAGGTCAAGTTATCTGGAATGTCAATTTATCCGAGGGTACTGCGTTTTTTAAATGAATCAAATATGACGTTTGCCAGTTCCACAATCAAGCCAATGATTTACAGAGGTTTCTGCACAGAAATCTGAAAGGGGTTTTCCATTTAGGTAGATGTTCATAATTGCGTTTAACGCTTCTTGTTTAAGACCAGTACGTAATGTGTTTTTTTGTAAGTTCATTGCTGAAAAGCCCCTTTCAACCGCTGCAGTACTCCCAGACAGAGAAAACATCAATTCCACCATGCGCAGTATGTTGCTGTATTTCTAGATTAGAGGGTCATTTTAGAAGTGAGGCGCTGGACTCTTGTAAGATAACAAAAATTGAAAATGTATCACGAATATTAACGGGAAAATGACCGTCGGATTCGAGAAATTTGTTGTCCGCAGGGAATTTTTGACCGCCGAAGACGGGTGGTTTTTTGAGCCCTGAGTAATATGTTGACTAAAATTTTTCTGGGCTGTTAGGATTAAAGCTTTATTGATTACATGCACAAGATAAACACCAAATAAAATTATGGGTCATTTAAAATGCGCGACCAAGCCAATTTCTACCCGTTTTTAATTCATAAACATTTTAAAAGAAAGATAGAGATTATATTTTAAAGTGTGAAACAAACTGTATCTATTCTGTTTTTTAATTGCTGTGGATCAAATAGTGTAGGTAAGTAAAAAAATATATCCTAAAATTAATTTTGTTTTTCCTGTTTATTGCTATTACTGTCCCAGTACACAAAAATACATTTTAAAAGAACAAAAAAAAGTTTTGGTTTGAATTCATCATGCATTCGCTTACAAAATAAGTTCTTACTTAAGGTGATATGAAAATGTAAGTGATGCAGCATACAGAGATTTTTTAACATTAATAAGTATCATTTGTTAGGGAAATTCTAAATATTTCTTCAAAGTTCTAAATACAAGCTATTTTTTTAAAGAAAAATAATTAAATTTTTAATTAATAATTATTATAACTGGTTTTTCTTCAATAACTATTAACTATTACTTATTTACTTGATTAACTATCGATTCATTGAAAAAAAATACATATTTCTTTCATTTGTTCTAAAAAACGTGTAAGTGAAGTGACAATAATTACATTTTTCTGCGCAAATACAATTTAAAACTGTCACTTTACCTAATTTTTTTTTTTTTTATAGCTGGTCAGTGATTTGTGTAGTTAAATGTATGGTCTTAATGTAAAAAATATTAACAATAAGGTAACTAAGTTTTCCTAATTGGCTGAGACAAAAATTAACGTTTTGAGAAAATCAGCCTTACATATATCATTGGAAGCAGTGCTTAGAAAAACTACATTATTTTTGTACTTTACTACAGTTACTTTGTTACAAATGTAGTTAACTACAACTACTTAAATGTAGTGATTACAAACTAGTTTGGAATTCAGTAACTACTTTAAGGAGACGAGCTTTGCTGGAGAACTTAATTTTACACCTTTGTTCAAAATGGTTTTGAATAAGAGATTGGCTTTTATACACTTAATGTAAGAGAATAACTAAGAAATATTTAGTAATGTTTATACGTGCCAGTTTGTTATTCCAAAAAAAAAAAATTTCGAATTTTTTAATTTAACATTCAAATCTTTATGCCTTTTTCGACAGCGAATATTTAATTTAAGAAATGCGAAATTATCAAATAATTGCAATTTTTTATAGTTTAATGCTCTTTTATTGCTTCTAAAAAATTAAATACAAGGAAAATACGTTCCTTTCCTTTGAAATAACATCAGAAACCGATCAAGACAAATTCCGGCCCAAGACCCTAACAAAATATTTTGAAATTAAATTTCTGAAGAGTAGTCCAAACGGTAAAAAGAATCCATTGAACTGCAGGATTCAAGAGAAACATTCTAAAACATTTTGAAAGCAGACTATTGAAGATTATTTTTCTAAGATAAAGTTTACGCATCTAAATATTAAAGTGAAATGTAAAACAGCGAAACAATGT